ACAGTCTTTAAAAGTATTCTCTGTTAGTCTAATATAATTGAATATATATATATATATATATATATATATATATATATATATATATATATATATATATATATATATATATATAGTATATATATATATATATATATATATATATATATATATATATATATATATATATATATATATATATATATATATATATATATATATATATTTATATATATATATATATATATATATATATATATATATATATATATATATATATATATATATATATATATATATATATATATATATATATATATATATATATATATATATATATATATATATATATATATATATATATATATATATATATATATATATATATATATATATATATATATATATATATATATATATATATATAGTTCAAACAGTCGCTCAGTTTCGGAATATTCTTTTGGAATAACCAATATTGTGTTAATAAACCTTTTCTCTTTTTTTGCTTCTTGTCCTGCTTTTTATACAATAATAACGGTCACGCATTTACTAAAGTTCTGGCACTTTTTCATTTACAAAACGAATTACGTAATAAGTAATTCTTCTTTTGTCGCGTTATTTGACAAAGTTCTAACTGAAACTTTTTATATTCAGAGAATTTAGAAACAAAATCTTGAAATATTTTTTTTTAATGTTAATTAAAATTATTTATATTACTGTTTTTTAGCTTGTTTATGTATTCTTATTATGGTTGACATACAAATATACATAAATAAATAAAAAAAAGAATTACATGAATAGTTTTATTTAGACATAAAAAAAAAAAGATTTATTTGCTATTCTCCTAGTATAAAAGAAATCAGTTAGAACCTTTTTTATTTCTGCTTTTTGTAAAATAAATCGTGTGCAAAAACAATTAAAGGGGGTAATCCATTAGGCACGTCATATTAGTCATTAGTTAACCTCTTCTCTTCTGTCAAAAATAATCACATATACTTGACGCCCCTCTCCCTTTTAAACTGCTAAAGCAATTTTTGCGTCGAAAATATTTATAAAGATGTAAATACTTTACTGCAATTTAGAAATTCAACGTAATGAAAATAAGGTAATAACCATAAACATTAAAAGTGTAAATAAAATCTTCGACATACTAAAGGATTTTCTTATTTAAATGAATTTATAAGTAATAATGAAGCATTCAAGGTAATTTTTCAAATTTGTCATACAAGGTAATTTTTCAAAATTGTTCTTGGTCGTGCGGAAAAAAATGTTTTCGATTTGATAACTTTCATAAATGTTTTAAAAGTTGCTCTGGAAGAGTGCCACGAGTTCTTAAAATTGCCGTTATTGATTAATTTTGACAAATGAGTTCAATATTTTTGCAATTACGGAACTCTTCTTAAAGGATATAAAAAATCCACGATAATAATCGCCCGGTAACGTAAGTTAAATATATAGTATCAAAAAAAAAAGTTTATATTTCTTAGCCGGTCACCTCTGATAAAATTTTAAATATTTTTTTAATTGGTATAGCATTCTTATCAATTTGTGAAACTTTCGAATACAAAGCGCTTTACTGATATGCAGAAATCTGACCTAAAAGTTGAAGCAATTTTTTAAACCTTGTTTTCCGTGTAACATAATTTAAATGGCATTTTCTGTAACAAGTTCACCCTCTTTTGGCCAAGCTTAAAACTTTTTAGCGTATTTTATTCTTTAGGCTAACAGCTTTCATACAATAAAGCTAAATGTTTTACTTACTGTTAAAATATTTGATAAAGTTGATGTGCGTGTAACGTAAGTTAAAAATGGAATTGCCCATATGTATGTATATGTATATACATATTTATACTCTTATTCTTTCCTAATATGAATATGATATGTATATTAGAAGAGAATGAGGATAAATAGGCAATAAAATTCATACTTGCAATCAAACTTAATTTATTAGAAAACGTTGCAAAAAATTTTTGTATATAAACAAAAAGTGTTTATTTAATTAAAAAAAGCATCATGGATAGGTATCAAGAGTATGGACAAAATAAAACTAATAATAATTTGGTGAGGTATAACAAAATACTATTTTATGAAACCTGATGGGAGTAGCTAGATTATGAGATTGGAATACTTAATGGTATAAGTAACACTTAAAAAAAGATCAAAACATATTTTTGTTACACTTCAAGTTTTTGTCTTTGAACCAAATAAAAAAAAACGTAGGTACTAGATTTTTTATTAAAAGTTTAACATAAAAATATGCTGGTCTAAATATCCCAACATGAAGATGTTGTATAAAAAAAAGCCTAGATTAAAAGTTTTAGGCATTATTGTTATAAAACAAATAACAATAGACGTTAAATATTAAAAAAAGTAAAACTTACTATTAAAGTGGTTTGTGGTGCTCGAGTCCATGGATCTTTCATTGCAACAAAAGTTGATTGTAAAAACAGGCTCCATATCTAAAAAATAGTCATATTTTTTTTTAACATTCTGCAACTTGATTAATAAAAAAATTAACACTAAAGTTAACTTAGGGTCAAAAGTAGTTAAAAAAACCATATAAAATAACATTATTTTAAAAGCTAAGTAAACAATATAAATATTGTATGTAATATATTCTATGGCTTATTTTTTATAGGAATCACAAGTTTTTCTACTTAAAAATGTTTTTAAATTGCTTATTTTCAGAACAATAAATATCCCAGTGAGCGTGAATTGTCGAAGGGTCGTCCGTCAAACTTCTTACGGACGTCTGAACGTCAGTGAGACGTCTGATGAGCTTTCCCCGGATGACGCGTGTCCACCTAGATATAACATTAACTCTATATTGCATATTTTTCTTAAATCAGATTTTTACAATAAAGGTAAGATTTCATATGAATAAATGACTTGCATAAAATGTGAGCAATATTTTTTATAAAGCATAACTTTCTTTCATTAAGGTATCACAAAGCGTAGCAGTGGGCATAAGACGTTGATTCAAATTAGATTTGCTATGGGTTATGTTGGGCAACATCGAAAAACTAAATCTAACGTTGTAATAACGTTTGTTTCACGTTATTTTTAATCACAACTATAAAATTGTTTTAACATTGGTTACACTTATATTTTTTTTCCTACGACGCTGTTATAAAGTTAGTTACATAAATATTATTTTATGTCATAATTGCAACGTTCTTTTTATAACTTTAGTTAAAAAACATTCTTTTTGATCAAAATTTCTTTGCAATAACGTTGGCTTCACCAACGTAATTTTTTCTTGGAGTTACAGCATTATAAAAGCTTTGCGTACATTATTTTAAATTATTATTCTACTTTTTTTTGACAAGGATTTTGTATACAATTCAATAACCCAGTGGAAAAAAGACGTCTTATGTACGTTCAGTTCACGACCGCTCGATTTATTTACAATATGAACTATAATAAGACGTCTTATGAACGTCTTTTTCTCGTCCGTTCTGAAAATAAGAAAATTTATCACTTTCAGTTTTGAAAAACCTTTTTATTATGTCTAATGACGCGAATGTCATTATTAAAATTATTAAAAAGTGTTTTAATAATGATTCTCGTATGAAGAGGTTCCAATTACTTTTTAGATAATTGTAGGATAACATATGTGTTTTATATTTATACATGTATATAGACAAATAAAATATACAAAGATTGTACATATAGTTAAGAAAAACTATATATAACTTTATATGACATATATATGTCGTGACATATTTTTTTTTACTTTATATGTCATTAAATTTTCTTTATTTTTATATATTTTATATTTTTAATGTCATATTAGATATATATAAAAATAATAAAATTTAGATTGATTAACTAATTTTTTTATTATATTACTATATGAGTATAAAATCCCATTTTATTTACTGTCATTTATATTTTAAGTATTATAGTTTTTTTTAAACGAAATACTTAAAATATAAATGTCAGGAAATAAAATTATAAAATTAAGATTTTATACTCATACAGTAATAATATAATAAAAATCAGTCAATAAATCTAAATTTTCATTACTTTTATATATATGTAATTTTATTTTCTTTGAAGTTAACTGTCAATAACCTAATCCCTGTTACTATATTATAGATGCATGTAACTATATTATATATCATAATATTATATATATGACAATATGATATATATGATATATATGAATCAATATATATATATATATATATATATATATATATATATATATATATATATATATATATATATATATATATATATATATATATATATATATATATATATATATATATATATATATATATATATATATATATATATATATATATGTATAATATAGTAACATACATATATAATATAGTAACAAGATATAAGAGTAAAAAATTATATGTGTACTACTAATAATAATAGAAAGTACTTTGAGTCACAGGAAAGTTCGAGTTATCTGAGGTTTGAGATATTTACTGTATTCTTATGATTATGGTTTTTACATTCCATCTTCATAGAATTTTGAACTTTATGCTGAAAGTTGCACTTTTTATATATATATATATATTTTTTTTTAAATTTTAATTTATTATACTTTTGCAACATTTAATAAAAATACGTATGATAAAGCTTTATTAATATATCAATGATTTAACATTTAGTGCACAAACAAATTAAATAATACATTTAATAATGTTAGAATATGATTGTTTTATATTTTAATGGTGAAAAAATCAAAATTTTACATGATATTTTTAGTAGAAAATTTTATAAGGATTTCTTGAAAAAATAATGACAAAATTGATAGTTTTTCGTAACTTCAAATGTTATAACTTTTCCAATTCTTATCAAAACGTATTCAATTTGTTATAAAAAGAAAGATATGAAAAAGACAAGGCACCTACAACACCAAGTAATATGTTACGGATGTATATTTGTTAATGAAAGTTTTCTATATTCTAACAGACGATCATTAAATATGATAGATAAACAAGTAGAAAAGAATATAGTAATACATAATACTCTCCTCATATGTAATACTCTCCTTAAACGTAAATCGAATTGTTTAAACCGGATATGATGATTAAATGTTGTATCGGCATGGTTTTATCTGTTTACTTTGCTTTTTCAATTTGGTTGCCAGCTTCAACCTAATCCTTGATTTAGAAACTATGATTTTGAACTAAAACATTTCTGTGTTAAATAAAATATTATTTATTCTTAACTGTATTTTTTTTGAAGCTTCAGTTATAAAATGTTGGTGGTAATTTTAGTTATGCCACTGTGAAAGCGTCGATTGTTAAGTATGTGTTTACTTTTTGTATTTTGTTTTGCTATACAAATAATTTTTAATAATAATTACTTAATTATTAACTAATAAGTTTTGTTTTGTTAAATTATTTATTATGGTTATTGTTTATCTGTATACATTACACTATAGAGTATATGTAAATGCATGTGCAATAGCATAGGTTGTATTTTTTTATGTATTCACATAAGACATTTTCAAGCAATCTGCAAACTTAATTATTTTTATCCTTATGTCGAATGACAACGTCATTCGACATAATGATAAAAATAACTAAGTTTATTAAATATATAAAGGTTAGTTTTCCTCCTTAAATGAGGTTGCAAATTGTACATCATCATAACTTTTGATTGCTAATATGAAATCATTTCCCTCATATTCAGATATAGGAGAGCAAAATTTTTTAGGTATTTTAGTTTTCAAGCACATATGTATTATTTATAACAAATAATAGATTATAATTTTTCATTGTCATTCCAGGTAGACATAAAAAGTTTGAAGTATGCACAAAGCCTGAAAGTATCAAATATGGAACCTAAAAAAACCTGCCTTTGCCACTGACTATATAAAGGTTTTTTAAGGTAAGAGCTTAAATAAATTAACAGAAAAAAAATATTATAAGTTATACATTTTTATACTAAAATAGAATAAAAATATATATTTGTAGTTTCAGTTTTTATTGTCACAATTATTAAACATTTGTGACACAGAATACAGATTTTGATGTCTGTCTTCTTTAATGTCATTAATGCTTTGTCTACTGTTTTCTTTTTGTGCATGACCTAATTTCTTTTCATATCCATATTTTTTTAGGTCTGTTTGTCAAGCGTCAAGTCAGGTTATCTTGCTCTGGTACCATGTAGTACATCCTGCTTAAGCAGGTTGTACGCCATCCATACGACGTTTGGGCATCTGTTTGTAAAATATTGCTGCAAATCTTTTTGAGAGAGCCATTACTATGGAGAACCATCTAAACCATACAAGTGTCGAAACATGGATGTAAATCTTAAACACATTTGTGATATATAATTGTAGAATGTTATATGGCCGCATTTGATCCTGAAAAACGTTCTTTTTGGACCAAATGCTGGCTGGGTAATTTGGACTTGTAAATGAACTAATATTCATAATTTTTAAACTGCTTATGATCTGATCTGATTTTTCATTTGTTTATTTAGATTAATGTGAAATAAACTGATGAGTTTATTTAACTTAGCTGGTAAAAAAAAGAGTTTTTGTGAAACAAATTTAATGACGACAATTATAGGTATACCTGTTAATATATTATATTTTGTATTGTATTTTGTATGCTTAGTTTTGACGAATTTTTAAATACTGCAAACTCACATTCGCACAAAAATCAACTGTGAACTCTTATTTAATCAGTTGCAAAATTTGACTTTGAAAATTTTGTATAAGATATTACAGCTTATTTATAAGACTGTGTTTTTAGAATGAAGTTCATTCGCTGGCAACATTTTTAAACGTGGTCCAGATCGAAAAAATTTTGGTGCTAGAAATTGTCGATAGTAGAAGTGATAGATGCATCGAACCTAATTTGTAATTAATTTCTGTAAATAAATTTCACTTTACTAATTTTTGTGTTGAATTCTTGTTTTTCTAATGGTATTTGAAATTAATAAGCCTAAAAATTAACGTATAAAAAAATACGCACCAAATAAGACCTATTTATACCTAATGTTTTTCATTATTTCTAAACTGTAACTTAAACTAAACTCAATTTCTTAGTCCTATCGGGACATCTTTTTTATGTTCCTCGTAAGGCGTCTTTTTTACGTTCCTCTCAGGACGTCTTTATCACGTTCCTTCTGGGACGTCTTTAAAACGTTCCACGCAGGACGTCTTTCTGTATTTCCAAATCCAACCAATTTAAGACGTCCGAAAGCCGTCCGCGTGCCCACTGGGAAGATAAACATTTATGTGATTATAAAAGATATATATAAATCTTCTTGAAGTAATTAATTTTTTGAGTACTCACTTTTTTAAAAGTAAATATAATATTAAATTATATTTATTGCTTTAACTTTCAAACAAAACATATTAAAGCTTATAATTTAAAATAATTATAATTTAAAATTTAAATTTGTTTAAGTATTTATTTTTAAATAACCTTTTAATCTGTAGGATTGTGTTGCTTAGTGGATAGCGCGATGTACTTTGCAGTGTGAGATCAGGGTTCCAGTCTCGATGAATGCCAACTTTTATTTATTATAATTCTTAACTATGTTACGTTAGATTTATCCTAAGTTAACAAACAATGTGATTTTGATGTAAAAGCATTGTACCTGATGAGCAGAAGCCGGATTTCATTGGGACTTGAACCTCGATTACCGCTTCATTGTTTAACGCACTTTTCCCTTTATTATGCAATCATACTTATAACGGAAGTATTTACTTATATATATTATTATTTTGTAAAAATGAATTATACTAGAGTTTAATTTGTTTGGCAGAAAAGTTAAAACCAATGTTTTTAAGATTTTTATATTTAAAAAATTTAATAATTCTGGAAAAAATCATATTATATAATAGCGAACATGTTAATGCTCATTGGAGATTGTTTGACACGATACTCTCAGCAGCCATTGCAACCGAGGTAACAGCAAGAAAGAGTAGCAGCCCTTTTTTATATAAGAAAAGTCAACGAAAATTTATGCTAATATCTAACTTACGCAAATATCTAAATTTCTTCAAATTATGTAATGTTACGAACATACTAAAACATATGTCAAGCTTTTTAGTTTTACTTTCACTTGAAAATTTCATTGCGGCAACATTTCCTTAAGATTTGATATGCAGCACTTAATTCTGTTTAATAAATTTTTTACTATGTTTTATTGTTTTTAAAATTGTCTTTATTCATTGAGCCGGCGAAGCCTAGTGGTTAGCACGAAAGGCCCTAAAGTTAGAGGTCCAGGTTCAATTTCTACTATCAGCTTATTTTTTAATTATATGTTTTTCGATTTTTTCTAAAATACAAAGTAAAACGCTTTAAAGAAAAAGTTTGTTTCGAAAGAAAGTTTCTCTGTTTGCAAGCAAAAAAAAATTGTTTTTTACTACATTTATTAAAGTTATCATGTAATGATTTTTTAGTTGGTGCCTCTTTAAATGCATGGAACTCATGTATAATTTATGGGATAAAAAAAATAATCTCATTACCAAACCTTAACAGCATAAAAAACTCAATAGACAATTAAAATCTCTAAAAAATAAAACAAAATTGTATTAAAATTTACGTACAAACCTATTACAAAAATTTAAATACAAACCTAGTACAAAAATTTAGGTACAAACCTACCACAAAAGTTTTTTAAATAAACTATAAAAAGATAGAAATAACTAATACGCAGCATCATTCAAATCAACTAATATATTTAATACACTTTAATCAAATCAAATCAACTTTTTAATTGACTAATTCACATACAAATTGTACAAAACGAGGGAAGGGGGGTGGAATTCTTAAAAAGTACCGATTGGCTTCATAAAAAAAAAAAGGTCTTTAAAATTACATATTAGCCGACTGAATGGTGTCAAATACTCGACTAGACGACTAAATCAGTAAAAAAATCAACTATAACTTGAAAATCAAGGTGGAGGGGGGGGGGGGGATGTAACAGCCCTCCACACACACCCGTAAAATCGCCTATATATATATATACATATATATATATATATATATATATATATATATATATATATATATATATATATATATATATATATATATATATATATATATATATATATATATATATATATATATATATATATATATATATTGCTTGTGATAGTGTTGTAACAGGGCATGGAAAAAGTATCTATTTTGCAAATATATAAAAAAATTAGTTAAATGAGCAATGCAATGAAATTTCGTTTTTAATAGAATAAAAGCTAATGTAAAAAGTGCTCATTTTTTTACTGGTTTTATTTAAAAAAATTCAGTAGGAGGAAAGTTTCATTGGAGTTATTAGAGAAAAAAAGATTCGGGTAATTTGACACTTTTTAAATTCAAAATCGATTGATGCTATTTTTTGAGAAATAATTTAGAGAGTGTTGGACTGGTAACGGGTAAACATACATATTTGATTACTTTATTGATCAAGAATGTATGTTTACCCGTTGATTAAGGATCTGCTATTTTACAATTACTTCATAATAATAAATGTTAAATAATCAGAATCAAAAAGTTTTTAAAGTCTGTTTTTTAACGGACCCAATATTTTGTTTATCAATTTTAATTTATTTTCAAACAAGTTTTGAAAATTTAAAATACTTATCTTATTATAATGGCTTTATCATTAGTCTTATCTAATGTAAATGCTATTAGATAAGTAAATGCTATTATAAGTACAAGTGATGTATTGTATGATAAATGTTGTATTTGAATCTGCATAATACGACATATATATATATATATATATATATATATATATATATATATATATATATATATATATATATATATACATATATATATATATATATATATATATATATATATATATATATATATATATATATATATATATATATATATATATGTATATATATATATATATATATATATATATATATATATATACATATATATATATATATATATATATATATATATATATATATATATATATATATACATATATATATATATATATATATATATATATATATATATATATATATATATATATATATATATATATATATGTATATATATATATATATATATATATATATATATATACATATATATATATATATATATATATATATATATATATATATATATATATATATATATATATATATATATATATATATATATATATATATATATGTATATATATATGTATATATATATATATATATATATATATATATGTATATATATATATATATATATATATATATATACATATATATATATATATGTATATATATATATATATATATGTATATATATATATATATATATATATATATATATATATATATATATATATATATATATATATATATATATATATATATATATATATATATATATATATATATATATATATATATATATATATATATATATATATATATATATATATATATATATATATATATATATGTATTTATATATAGATGCACTTGCTCATTTATTAATCAAAGTACTTGTATATTTGTTTTTACATAATTAAACCCATACGTAATTAAATCCATAAATGTTATATAGATACTTATGAAGGGTTGGATTTCAGCGTTAACAGCATTCCAATAACTAAATTTGCTCCTACTATTAACTAAACGGAGACATTAGAATACGAGTTTTTTTTATCGCAGGCGTTAAAAACTGTCGATATATTTTTAACAAGCCGATAGCTTATATCGTTCAAATCATTAACATGAACAAAAATAGTATAAGTGTTCCCATTTAACATTAGTATAAAACAGATGGAAGTTTAACCGTATTGAAATGTTTCGGGACGAGGCTTGTAACTTTTTGTTTCGTAAACAAAAAGTAAATAACATCAAGACTGTACTTAAACGCTAATCTTTAAATGTTGACCCAAATACGTTCATAATAACTTAAAAATAATATTTTGACGGTTCGCCTATAGTATTCAAATATAAACATTAAAGATGGCAATAACGAAACGGCAAATCACAACTTTTTTTTAACTTTACATTAAATGAATGGAGTATTGCAAGCATGAATGAAATTATTATATACAACTAATAAAACTTTAGGCTTGAGTAAATTAGAAAACATTTTTTTTGATTTTATAAAAATTATGTTAGCTGTCTTTTTATCAAATGTCGTGTTATGATTTGGAGCAGAAAAGAAACTTTAAATAACACATGCTTTTAAAATAAAGCGGTTCTATTTAACTACCGTGTTTTAATAAACATTTTGCTGAATATTTCAAATAAGTAATGTTTAAAACTTTGTAGCAAACTTTAGCTTTAACACTATAAAAACAAAGTAATACTAATACTACTTAGTAAATAAAAAAATAACTCACGCAAGCGAGTTATTTTTTTGAAAAACGAATTGTGATAAATTATGGGTACTACAATGTATTTGTTCTACAAGTTCAGTTCCACCCCAAAAAGTGTTCGCTTGGATAAGATAGACCAGAGACTCTTTTATACATTACAACCAAAAAATTTTTCATAATGCATTTTTTATTTTAGTTACATGCTCAGTTTTGAGGCAATTCTGCCCTAATGTTCTACATTTGTCTTTTAGATTCCGTAGTTTTCTAATTTTTTTTTTTAAATTAAATGATCAACAGTGCCATATGCCTCGCAAGGTCTGTAAAAACATCTAAAGTATATTTGGTTTCGTCAAAAACTTGAAAAATAAAATGAACAAGAACTAGAATTAAATATTATGATCAAATGTGCCATATGCCTCGCAAGGTCTGTAAAAACATCTAAAGTATATTTGGTTTTGTCAAAAACTTGAAAAATAAAATGAACAAGAATTAGAATTGTATGAATATTTACTTCTATTTTTAACATTTTAAAACATATTAAAATTGTATTAAGTAGAAACCTTTAGAGTGTAATTTTTGCTGATAAAGTCACGCAACGTTTGGCTGAAATCTATGCAACTAAAATTTTGATTGAATAATTTCGAATTAAAATGAATAATAATTTCATTAAAACTAAACTAACTTTTTATCTGGTGTAAAAAATTGTTTTTATTTTACTCTGCTAGAAAATACATAGCTTTTAATTTTGTAAACTAAATTTAGATATTTAATAAAATGAAAGTTGTTGCGACATGAAGTAACATACAAGTTTTTAATCAAATTAACAATCTTCATCAGAAATCTTCAATTAAATGATGAAATTTATCATACAATATAATACAAGTTACCTTTTCACAGAGTTGTTCTTGCACTTGTTTTTGATAAAGTCTACCACAAACTGTAGTTTAGAAAACTTATTTAAATATGATTACTGCACAGTAGTCGTAAAAATAGTTTGTTTATATGCTTTAAAGAACTTAAATGATTGAATTAATTTTGCAAATATAGTCAGGCAAAAAAAAGGTATATTTCTTCTACAGAAAAGAGTACGAAAATATGGTTTATAAAAGTAAGTATTATGGGTAATAAGAAAAGATACAATGGTGGCATAACTGATAAGTATTACGCTTTTTATGAAGTTTTTAGAGTTGCATATAGAATTACAAATAATATTGAAATTGAGCGTTATTGCTGCATTCGTTGCAATACTCTTCGTAAATACAGTCAATTTTAACAACTTCTTGTGGTTAGTCTCCTAATCATTTGATAAATGAAGATTCAGGTAAATTAGAAATATTTCGGAAAATGCGTCGCAACGTTATAAAATGTAAAAAAATAAAATACAGTTGGATACAGTACAATACAACTGACACAATACAAATGGATACAATACAATACAACTGACACAAAACGGGTTAGCGAAAAAAGGAACAGTAAGTTTTACATAAAGAAACATTCTTTTTTAACTTTTTTAAAATTACAAGGCGGCCGACTTTGTAGTGAATCTAAATATAAATGAATATATTAAAAAATAAAAAGATCTGGTAAATGACAAATTTCATTGTAAAAATATATTATTTGTTTTAAGGATACAACTTTTTTTTAAATCATATAAGATTTTTTTTTTTCTGCAATTTTAAGTTTTTGTCCTCTTCATAAAAAATTATTTACAATAATGTTTAGTAAGGATGTGACCGGAGAAGGCAGAATGCAAAAGGTTTATCAGCCATGGATAATTACGTGTTTAAACTTTAATATGTATTTTTTAATATTTATATGTATTTTTTTTTTTAATATGTATTTTTATATGTATTTTTTTTTTAATATGTATTAATTAACTTTAATGTGTATTTTTTTTTTTCTGTATTCAAATCAACTAAAAAAAGAATTTAAAATTTATATACAGGTAATGATATGAATGTAGCGGCGCTTTTTATGAAACGGATTAACAGTAAAAAAAAATAAAAGAGAATATTTTAAAACTAAAATAGAGTTTGAGGTATGTCATAATTATTATTTCAATACATTTTTACAAGCTTGAATTAAAGGTAAAGTTTAACTATTATTTAGGAGAAATAAGTCCCACACATGTGACCCTCGGTATGTTATTGAAAATTCAAGTTGCTTTAACAAAGTTTTTGGTACCGGATGTTCATACAACAAATATTTTGTTTGATATTTTTGACCTATAATAGAAAAAAAGTTCTCCCAAAATATTTAGCAGCATGCAATATTTATTTTGAACATAAATGAAAAAATAATATAAATATTTAATTAATAAGCATTAAGCACACTAAGCTTAATGCTTATTAATTAAATATTTATATTATTTTTTCGCTTATGTTCAGTGGATTGGCGCAGGTGTATTCATTAACATTAAATATAAGACGGCCTGTTTGTTTATGATTTTTTAGAAACGCTTTAATTTTGACGTGTAAGTACTTGCCCAGGCAATACTACAATAACTAATATAACTAATATAAAGTTTAAATAAAATGGATGAACTAAAAGTAGATAGAATTTAAGCAGCTTTTATCCATCTTGTTTTGTACATAAGTTCAGTATTTTTTCAAACTTTGTTTTCTATTTGATTTTTATGATCTTTTTAACTTACTTTCTCGTTTAGTAAAACGTCAGAGTTTAATACCAAATGTACGTTGTAATGTACGTTTTGTATTAAATTCCTAAAATAATTTTTTTCTATTAAAATGTCTAAGAGTTTTGAGTGTTGAGTGTCGGATTTATAAAATTTAAAAAAGAAATTATATTTGCTATTAGAGGTGTTTAGAGAAAGAGAGAGAAAGAGAGAGAGAGAAAGAGAAAGAGAGTGTGAGAAAGAGAGAGAGAGAGAGAGAGAGAGAGAGAGAGAGAGAGAGAAAGAGAGAGTTATTGATTAATATAAATAAACGGTGTCTTACGTTTGCAGTAGAATACGCTAATAATCTAAATTTACTTCTTGTAAAACCCGCACAACAATCCACAATCACCTACGATGAATTTTTTTTTTTTTTGTGTTAGGGTGCTCCATATAGAAAATGCGGTCTTATTATAGAGCTCCGCGAATAAGCGATTTAATCAAAGAGTTTACAAATTGTTTTTTATAATGTCTATATTCATGTATAATGCCTTATTTTTTGTTTTATTTATAACCACACATAATGATTACATATTTTATTGATATAATGAAAAGAAAAATATGTACAATGGATTCTACTTTGCTTATATATAATAATAATAATAATAATAATAATAATAATAGCAATAATAATAATAATAATAATAATAAATAATAATAATAATGATTTGATTTATTTTAACAACTGTTTGTTTTGTCAAAATATTTACTTTTATTAATACGGAAGTAGAAGGCTGAAGCAAAAAATTTTAGAAAAATTAATTTTGGACTTCTCTTACTTTTATAGACTTTTATATATATATATATATATATATATATATATATATATATATATATATATATATATATATATATATATATATATATATATATATATATATATATATACATATAAAAAAAGATATATTTTAAAATAAAACGTACCAAGATAAACAAATCCAAAGTATTCATTTTATGATATTTTTAAGTAGAAGCAAAGATGTTTATGTTTCTAACATTGATGTAACTTTTTAAAGTGTAATTTTTTCTGTATTTATCTGGAAAAAGGTTGTGCAACCTAAAATAAATATTTCATAAAACTATATACTGCGAACTGTAAAACAAGAAACGGCAACCTCAAAATAAATAATGCGTTTCATTAATTTTTATAAGAGTTAAAAATGATCTTAATTATTAAACTTTAAGAAACAATAAGTTATTCAAAATAATGTTAAAGTTGTTGTCAAATTTTTACAGTTTAATTTTATAAATCAGAGCCGACAACACCGAAGGGCCAGAGAAAGGGAGGGGGGAAAGCACTGGCTCTCCACTTTTGTTCTAGAAAGTTCTATAAACCGAGGACTTTTTTTAAAATTCACAATTGTGTCCCTCCACTTCAAAACCATCAAAATTTTTAGGGTAAAGCTAAAATATTAAAAAAAAAAAAAATTATTATCAACAAATGAACACATGCACATAAATATAATTGTGTGTGCGTGTGTTGAAATGTGTTTATATATAATTTAGCCTTAAACGAAAATTGTTCGTTGTTTTTTAACTATATTATAATTTAAGTGTGTGTATACACTAGAGATGCCGCGAATATTTAGCAACTATTCGGTATTCAGTGTATTCGGCAACATTTTATACTATTCGGTATTCAGCTGAATATTGAAAACTATTCAGCCAAATGCCAAATAAAGAAACATGAAAAAAAATGCACATGATAAATAGTATAATGAAAGGATTATATTATCAAACTATATAAATAAGATTCTATTAATCACCAAAATTTTTTATTTAAAACAAGTTTAATACTTGAAAACTATCACTGGTAAATTATGATGAATAAAATCAATTTTTTTAGCATTTGTTAATAGCTGGCAATTGCGCTTTTTCTCGTAAATTATACCTGCTTATAGCCGTTAATAATACACGCAACTACCTGGGGATGATAAATAAATTTTAGTAAACTCTGCTAGGCTAGGATATTGTTTTGCATTAGCAGACCAACACTTGTAAGGGTCTGTTTTCCGATCTAGGCGAACAGTTTTCATAAATAAATCATTTTCATTTGCCGTTGAAATTTTCTGATCAACATCTTTATCTGCGTACGTGTTTTCTGTACCAATTTACTAAAATCAATTCCAGAAACTCTTCTTTATCTCAATTGTTTTATCATTTTCATTACAAAATTTTTTCTTCCGAGGCGGAGAAGAGTCATTATTGGTGCTACTAGATGCTTCAAAACTTTTTTTCAGAGCTTCTAATAGACTTTTTTGTTTTGATCTTTGTGTTTTTACTATACCTAAGAAAGTGCTCAACCCGAACTTTAGTTTTAAAGTTCGGGTAGAGCATTTTCATTAAAGTTGACAACGCCTCATGTTCAGATTGAAGGAAAGATCTGATTGTTGCTAAATTTAATGTACTCTGTGCTATCTTTTTCCTTTTCAGGTATTTTACCAACGTGACAACATGTGAAACTACCTCAGAAACGCAAGAAATAACGGAGCAGGTTATTTTTGTAAATTCTTTTAAAGGTTTGAAAAGTTTGATAGATTGTTCCATAAACACCCATTAAGCAGGTTAGTCACCCATTAAGCAGGTGTTAAGTTATTTAAAAAATCATGATCAGTTTTCTACAACGAGATGCTTTTGCTCTAATAATCGCTCCGATAAATAGTATGTTTAATTCCAGCGTGTATTTACGTCATGTAACGTCACGTGTGCTTCCACCTTGTATTAGTTGCGTACTAATTCTTTTATTGGGGTAATTTTCCTCAGTCTTGAGGTGCAACAAGGTATTTAGTACTGTGGTGCTTCCTTTTCCATACCTAGTGGGACCGATCCTAATAAAGACGTCTTTTGAACGTTCAAAAGACGTCTAAAACGTTAAAAAGACGTTCAAAACGTTCAAAAGACGTTTAAAAGACGTCTTCCTAACGTCTTGTGCCTACTTTGTAAACTTGTTGAATCCAACTCAACAGATAATAATGATTCGTTGTCTTAGGCAATCATTTCACCAATTAAGTAATGATACTTTATTGATTTTGGATCATTAATATCCCAACACATTTTCCTTTTAGTTGTCTCTTTCAGTGTTAAATGTTTATATTTTAATAAACCTGTTAATCGCATTATTACTCTCTCTTTCAGGCAGAGCTCCAGTTAACTACTTATATTGCTTGTTTTGAAGATGTTTTTCAAGAAAGTTGTCGATGAAAACAAAAATAAGTACTTTCTGTGCAAAAAGTACTATGAATGAAAAAATTACCAGCGTTATTAATTTTTTTGTTAAAACATATTTAATAAATATATTACTTTTACTTTTTTGCTTTCCTTCCTTCGCCACCATGCGAGATTTGATTTTACACAGTGAACAAACTGCTGGTTTATTGTCTTCCCTAGAAATTTCATAATTATTCCAAATTGGTGATTTTTTAATCAAATATGCCATTTTTAAAGCTTTTTGCAAACAAAAATTTGAATTAACACAACATTATTTTTCGCAAGCAAAGCGACAATCAAATACAAAGTCTTTTATGTTCACAAATTTGACTTGAATAGTGATCAACTGTTAATTTACTTTTACGGTTTTTAATGACAATATTTAAGGTCTGTAGTTTATAATAAGTTATCGATTTTGTAAATACATGAATTAAATTTAGTAAATTCATTTCGTTGTTTTACAAATAGTGACAATTTATATTATAGTTACATTAACAACTAATATAAACCGCAAACAACGCAATAGGGTACCGTTGCGGTTCTAAAAAAAAATGAATAAACTTTTCGCAAAGTTTTCTAATATCCAAACGCGGACGAACAATACAAAATTCAAAAAATCTTAATACCAATTCAGAAAAAAAAGTATATAAAAGTGCAATGAATTATTGTTATTACCGACTTTCGTAAGGGGTGGTTTTTGCGTATGAGATTTCGGAGCCAACTTTAGAGGGGATAAATGAACAAAATCAATATCGATCTCAATTGATACCAGAATGTTTTTAACTTTCTTCTAAATTAATAAAATATAATGGATAAATTTTTAGATTGAAAACAATTGTATAAAATGATTAATAGACCATTGCTTATCTACAAGTTGTACTTTACACGAGTTGCGGATCAGAATAAATAAATTTAAACATTACCCTTTCTTGCCTAAAAACTAAAGTAAAAAGCAAAAAGACGTTTTTTATTCACAACTTTCTTGGATTCTACAAGTATCTCACCTTTAACTACCTCTTTAACTATAAAAGACTCAGCGCACCCTTCTATCACTTTATCTTTTTTTAAAAAATGTACTTTAAATATAAGAGAATGCAGTTTAGAACAGAAATATTGATGTAGTTATTAAAAATTGAATGCAGTTTTGGAACGAAAATTGCCATAAAAGTTGTGACTGTTAAAAAGAATTTTGTTTAACATGGCGTTAACGTTGTTTGTTAGCTATCAAAATCTTATGGGGAACAAATTTGTCTTGCTGCAGTTTTGTTTAAAAAAGATTCCACATTTTTGAAATGTTGGTTTCAAGAATATTACTTTTAAATTGTTGGTTTCAAAAAAATGTTGATAGGTCCTTTCAATTTTATTGTTTATAAAAGACTTCCATGAAGCAAAAGAAAAAAATATAATGACTTTAAATATGACATTCTCAAAGTAAAAAAGACTTAATTTTTATATCCTGCCAAACTAAACTTATTTCAGTGCACCTTGCTATTAAAAAAGTGTAAAAAAAAATTTCTAAAATAAAGGAAACAAATTTTCAAATCACATTGGTGCAATGTTGTTTTTTCACGTGTAAAATTTTAACTATCCCTTAACCAAAATGCCTTCTTTTTTGCTTAATGCATCTTTACATTGTTAAAGGAAACCGAATCTATAAGACTAACTTAATCAGATCACAAAAACGTTTACCGCATTAAGTGATATTATTTGAGTAATGTAAGGAAAAATTTATACTGTTCCTAAAAATAACATAAATAATAACATAATATGTTTTTCCATAAAGAAAATTAACAGCTACAAAATGTAGGGAAGAGTTGCCGAACTTGGAATAGCGCTTTAATTGGAACACTTGCATTTATTTTTGAAAAAAAATGAACTATGGCTATATTTTTCATTTTTTTAGTAAAATGCATTAATTTCTACGTTTTGACACATTTTTAAAGTTATTCTTCAAAAAATGCGTTTGCATCATTGATTTAAAGTTTTTTTACGTCATTTTTTTTCAGTGATCTAATTTTGTGTTCACACTAAATTGATTGCACTGGGTAAACTATGGTGCTATAGGTTATACCGTTTTTTGTATTTAATTCGATGGGATTTAAAATGCAAAATAACTATAAAATCTTATTTTATAAGTTGCTGCAAGCATGTTATTGTAGTGATATAACAAAATAGTCGAAAGTTATATAACAAAATTATAAAAAAAGTTATATAACAAAAGTGATATAACAAAATAGTCGAAAGTTTCCTTGATTGGAACATTGAAGTTTTTCTTACATAATCAGTAATAAAATCAAAGGGTTGTAAATATAGTTTGAATGCAATTAAAAAAAAATACTTAATACAACCATAAACTTTATAAATAATACTTTATTTAGTGATTTTTAATCAATAAACTAAATAAATCAAGAGAACGTTATAATAGTTGAAGCTTTATACAATTTTTTGTTTGTAGACTTTAAATTTGTTAGGGTAATACTAATCCTATAATAAGTTTTGAATTAACTGTTTAAATTTTAACTGTGAAGATGAAAATTATTTCTTACAAACTTTGTTGATTTTACAGGGTTTTTTTATTTTTAAATAACCTGTTTTGATTAAGGAATCAAAGTGTTCCAATTTAGGGAACCAGTTGCTTTGATTGGAACACAATGGTAACATTTCAAAAACAAATTTATTTCCATTAACAGTGCAAACATTTTAGTCAAATTGTGTTTAAAAGTATAGTAGGGATGTCTGTTTGTATTAATCAAATCATAAATGTTTTCATAGCTAAGCCACCCAGCAAACACTAGACGTCTTTAAGATCGTCTTACTTAGGTCTTTAAATGGTCTTGTCTTAGAAAGA